ATACTCTTGCTTTGAACTCAGACTCCTAATTCAGATAGCCTAGAAGGATTGTAACCTGTCCTTGGTATATTGAAACTGGCCCAATATTCTTTTCCTCCAGTTCGAAATCTGGTAACCTGGTTGGTGGTACCTCTCACTCAAGGTTCTTGCCTATCTAAATTCTTCATATTGGTATCTATTTTCTAGGTCTAGCCTTTATAGTAATATCATCAAAGATCTGTATTACCTTTCTGCTCAGAATTTCCAAGTAGGCTCTGGCTTACCAGTTCTACAGATTTACATAACCTGAGAACTTATTTTAGATTTGCACTACTCAGTACTGATTTGCATTTCTTTGTGTAACAAGTTATACAAATACCCCAGACCTGTCAGTTATGCTAGTATGACCATAGTTATAGATAAGAGCCTGCAAATTACCTATTTTTGAGGCCCAGCCTAGCCTGCAGTTAGGGTTAAAAATTTTTTTTAGGTCCAGCTTGGCCTGCATTTAGGATTACTATTTTTTTGCCAACCCAGTCCATATATATTAAATTTTTTCTTTAGCCTGGCCCAACTCAGCCTAGTCTACAAAAATTTCTTATATAATTTTAGAAAATTTTAGGCTTATACTGGTCTGCAATTATAAAGTTTTGCAAATTTTTTGGCCTGGTCCAGCCCACAATTATAAAATTTTGCTTTAGGTCTGGCTGGGCTGCAGGCCTCTAGTTACAGATATTCTATCCCAACTGATTAACAGAATGCTGTCACCATAATATCATTTATATATTACATAAATGATTATTCAAATTTTGCCATTAGTAGGTTTTGAATTCACAATCTATTACTTAAAGATATGACAACTTATCCATTTTACTAAGTCATCACACCCTCTATTAATTAAATTAGCTTATAAGATTACATATATTAACTAATTAAAAAGTGTAGCAATTTGGTGAAATAAATAAGTTGTCAACCTTTCAAATAGTAGGTTAGGTGTTTAAATCTTATTGATAATAAAAATTTAGATAATTATCTATATAATACTTATATTATGACAACTGTTTTTAATAATTAAATTAGGATACCTGTAATAGTAGTTATACTAATATGACTAACAGATTATGAAGCATTTGTATAAATATGGCATTATACAAAGGAATACAAACTAACATTGGGTAGTGCAAATTCTAGATAAGTTCTTGTGACTATATAAATCTATTAAAATTAAAAAATAAAAAGATTATTTAAGAAAAGTTAAGTAAAGAAATAATATAGATCTTTGACAATGCTACTTAAAGACTGCTATATAAAATAGATATCAATGCTAAAGTATTCAAATAGGTAAGAATCTCTGGGTTGAGAGTCTTAGAGATATCACCAACCAGGCTGCTAAAATGAACTAGAGAAAAAGAATATTAGACCAACCTAATATATTAATAGATTAATTATAGTTTTATTAAACTATTTGGATTAAAAGTCTAAAAAATAAATAAAAATATACTAAAATATTTAAATATATTGTAAAATAGATATTGAGGTCTAAGTAAATTTTACAAGAAAACCTGAGGTTAATAGTGCAGTGGTTAGCACTCCCAGATCGCATTTACAAGATTGCTAATTTAATTCTAATTAGAGAAAAAACTGTGCCAAGATTACAAATGTTCATGAACTTAAGTAAATTTTCTATTTTTACTTTCAGACAAGAATACTACAACAACAAACAGGTTGCATAACATAGCTACAGAGTTATATAACACTCAGATAAGAAGATAATTCAATAAAAAATATTGATAATATAAAGGTTTTCAGATTAAGAAAAAATCATAAAAAGATATATCAAAAAAAGATGAAACCTATAAGGCTATGTTGATAAAGAACTGTGAACCTCAAAGTCAAGAGTCCTATACTATAAGGCCAAAGACCTGAGTTACTATAAGTAAACTTGTTAGCATGTGGTATGAAGAGACTAGGGAACACTACTAGTAATGTATATAATAACAATATATATAAACTTGTAGAAACTAAATAAAATAATAACTTAATAAAAAGAATGCTACCTATGCTTTTAGTTGCAAGAACAATAGAATATTTTAAAAAAAAACTTTACAAAAGCATAGCAGTTTAATGTTTAGTTCTGACTTTAAGTGTTAGTTTTATTATAATAATATTAGGCCAATTGTATAAATAAATACAGAAGTTTTTAGAAGGTTTATCTTGAAAATAAAATAGTTCTAAAATTAAGATGATAACCTAAATAAGACTCAATAATATTAACACAGATGTAGGTTCAAAAGATTTAAAATAAAACACTTAAGCAGAGGTATTAGTTATAACAATTAGTAAAGAACTTTTAGACAGACTTCTTAAATAGGTAATATAAAAAGTTATATGTGTAACTAATTGTATACTCTTATTGTAATAGTTTATAGAATCACATTATCAAAAAAGTTATTAATAAAAATTAAAAGATCAAAAAATTACTTTAATATTAAAAAAATATTAAATCATTAAATTTAGTACTTTTATATTATCTAGAAAACTTTGAACTATTCTAAAAAACTTTGTAATATATATAAGTATATATTTTTTAAATATAATAATAATTCAAAATTTTATTATAATAGATAAATTATTTTATTTATATTTTGTGAAATTTTAATAAAATTGATTATAATTTAAAAAAGTTTTATAATTAGTATATTTTAATTTTATATAAAAATTTTAAAATACTATATAAAACTATATAAAAATGATCTATATATTTTTTATTCTTAAAAAAAACTCAAATCCTATCTTATATTTTAAATATAATATTTTTAAAAAAATAAAATCAAAAGAAATAGAAATAAGAAAAATGCTAATCAAAAACCTAATGTTAAAATAAATATAAGACAGATTAACATAACTTTTAAGCACAAAGTTAAGACAACAATTTGCAAATATAATAGTAAGAACAGTTTAAGATATGTTTATAAACAGGTTTAAAAAATATAATATAAAAAGATTAATAAATAGAAAAAAAATAAAAATAATAGATAAAATAAAGAGAAGAACTAAAAAAAAAATAATCCAAGCAAAAAGAAAAAAACAAATTAACATGAGATAGAAAAAAAAAGATAAAAAAATAAATTAAAAAAAAAACCAGAAAGACAATATTGAAGCTTATTGTAAAAAAGAGAAGATCCTTTTATTAAAGAATTTAAGTAGTTAAACAAGCAGTTTACTTCTGCTTAAAGTAATACAGCAATTACACTTAGATACTATTAAGATGATTAGGTAATGCTAGATTTAGTTATTAGCATATCTATGTAATTGCCAAAATAATTTCAAGAATCTTAATAAAGTACTAGTGTGACTACTTAAAAAAAAAAAATAGTAAAGACAAAAAAATAATAATTCTACTTAAGCAAAAGAAACAAAAAAGAAATGAATCATATATTATACATTTCTTTTATTAAAATAATGCAACAGCAAAGTTTATTAAATATTATCATAATTACACAATATTCAATAGCTAAGCTTATTAATTTTATTAAAAGTTTATTAACGTTAATATTAATCAGTCAGATATACTGATTTAGGATCGATGCTATGGCAAAAGTTAAACAGAAAATTGATATACCTGTCACAGATCACTTCTGACTACGTAGATATTGCATAATACGTATAATATTGCATTGTAAAAAAATGTCATATCTATATATTACAGAATTTATATATTAATTTTTTCAAAATAAGTGTTTTGAATTAAATTTAGAAAATAAAATTATATGTGCTATTATTAATAATGGCTCTAACATAATAAAAGTTATTCAGTTGTAGAATTCTATTACCTGGCTTTTATATATGAGTGCGTGAGAGTGAAAACCTGGAAACCGATCATAGTAAATCATTAAATCGGTTTCCAGATTTTCACTCTCACGCACTCATATATATAAACCTTATTCTTTTATATTTGATTCTACGTATAATTGATGCAATGAACATTATTTAGCTAAAGAAATTTGTAAAATTATGACAAATGAAATAAATTATAAAAAACATACCACTGAAAATATAGTATTATGAAAAATATAGAAAGTGATGAAGAAAAAAGAATGTTATAGCATTTAAAAACGTATTAACAAATATTAAAAAATTTGATGAGAATGCATCAAATACGTATTTTAAAGCAAACTTATAAAATAGTTGATTATTTTTAGCTATAATTTGCTACGTATAATATTTATTTTTATTTTTTTATAAGGGGATGTTATTAGATTAATAGTGTATAATTGTTAAGCGATAAGTTTAATATGATTTTATAACGATAACCTTTTTACAGCAGAGACAGTGCCCGATCCAAAGTGAATCCCTCTCGCCTGTGATCAATCGCAAATTAAATTATTTATGTTGGATTCAATTGTGATGGATATAATCCCTCACCAGTTTTAATATACGTGTAACATTGACGGGTTCTCCTGTTTAACCTTTTAGAGTTGCTGTATATCGATATTACCAAAAATAAGTCATTTTCGATATATACGTAATAAGCTACTTCACCTGTTTTTGGAAATTAAGTAAATACTTATATATTTTGTATAGAATTATTTTAACAAAGTATTGATAGAATTAGCAAAGTAAAGAAGAAAAGATTGAGACCACCGCTATATTACATATTTTTTTTAAAGAAATTTTTTATCTAAATCTTATAATTTTATAAAATTTGAATAAAACATTTTTATTAAATTTATTAAATTTGATTAAGTATTTATTATACTAGCTTCAGTTTAAATTTTTTATTTAATTATAACTTGATACCCCGCTTTAGTGAACCCTAAAAAAAGCATAAAAACTTTTTATTGCCATCGGGATATTATTATATCAATTTGGTTTGACCTTATAGCATAATTCAACGGATAATTATTTAGTGCAAGTTTTAAACATGACAAAATCATAATTATTCAGCATTTACAGAATTGCATTTTGAGTAAATAGATCCTTTAACTAGTAAAGTAACAGATATTATTCTTGTGCATTTATCATTCATCAATAAAAATCGTACTAGATTCATAAAATTCGATAACCTTTTGATGATGATAATTTTATTTAGTGAGACTGATATTTTCAAGTGTTAGAATATATTTAGTTACCTTTTGAGGACAACGGCAATAAGCGTCTTCGGCCCAGTGGACTGTTTCCTGCCCGTTAATCCTAAAAAAAAAATCATACGCTTAAACAATAAATTTAAATTAAAATGGAATAACAATAGAATATAAAGAATGTAAATACCATCGTAAAACAATAAACAATCTTTCAAATTTATAATCTTTTAAGATGTATACAACGCGTTCCAAATATGGATCCCAATTATTATAGACAACTTCAATGTCCATTTCCTCTACATCATCATCATCACACCATAATTCTGAACAATCTGATTTGTTTCCATTTTGACACCCTTTATCACTTGTTTCCCAGCTAGAAATGTTTTTTGGTACTATTTTCAAACGTCGAAAATCGACCAAGAATCGATCATCAGCTCGTACGCAAGGGAGGTCCAATGATACCAGTGTAATAACAGAATCTACTTGTAGATTATTGACGTTGCTATCTGAACTTTCCATCTCATTATTGATCCTTATGTCATCAGCTCCAGGTTCACGTCGATCTACAGCTTTACCTTTGATGTCTACCTTTTTTTGTCTCACCTCACATATATAATCACCTTCATCACTCTCACTTTCAGACGATTTATACGTGTTGACCGTCAACAGTTCATTCATAGCAATATTATAACCTATAAATTTAAGAGTATAAAAAAAATAGGTGTATTATTATAATTATTATTTTTTAAAAAAAGATGATACATTTTAACAAGTGTTATGTACCCAAATACGTATGTTCAAATGAGAAGAATTTTTTTTTTAAATGTAAAATATTCACGTTTATATTTTCTAAACTTTTAATAAATCTTTCGTATAAAGTTTAGATTAACTTTACTATGATTTATAAAAAATACTTTAACGTTAATAATTATTAATTAACGGTAATATGATGATGTATGATTTTAATTTAGACTAACCTTCGTGATGTAAGGGTATAAGTGAATGAATCGCGATTTCGTTATTAAGAAAAATTGGTTTAACCTTTAAATCGCATTTATTACTAGAGCTATTATTCATCATATTAAGGAAATTTAAATAGAAACAATGCAAATTTGTTTTTTTTTGCTCCAATTTTGATGGTTTAAGATTTTTAACTTTTTTTTAAGTTTGTAGAATTCAAGTTGTCAGTTAGGGATAAAAATGGTTGCATAATAAAGGGTTTCGTACACTTATAGTTTACGTGATTTTGATTACTGTATTTTCCCAAAAAAGACATAATATCGGCCTGCATTGAAATGGCTTTTGAGTATTAGAGTTACATCGTGTAGTAACTGTTCAAGTAAGACTGTATTGACTTTCAAGTAACTGTTCAAGTAACTGTTCAAGTAGACTGTTCAAGTAAGACTATTAACTGTTAAAGTAAGACATAAATTTCTAGTTCCTTTCAAAGTCTATTCGAACAGAATAAATGAATTTTCAATATAAAGTTTCTAGTTTTATTTAATATAACTAAAGTTTTGTTTCTGTTATTAAATAATTGATAAATTCAGCCATTATAAATTAGCTATCACGTATAACTTGATTTTTTTTTAAAATTAAGATTTAATTGTATAATAAAAATTTAAAAGTAATAGTTCCAGCCGATATACAGTATAAACATCCTAAATTACAGAATAATAATATACTTTTAAGTCGAGTTACATTAAAATTAAATTTTAGGGTTAACCTACAATATTATTAACCGATTTTTGTTATACGTATACTGTATTAAGAGTTTCATCCCATGGTTTTGAGTTACATTAGAAGTTATTTAAGATTCAATGAAAGATTAAAAATTTAGGGTTAACCAACAATATTATATTAACCGATTTTTGTTATATATTAAGAGTTTCATCCCATGGTTTCGAATTACATTAGAAGTTATTTAAGATTCAATGAAAGATTAAAAATTTAGGGTTAACCAACAATATTATATTAACCGATTTTTGTTATATATTAAGAGTTTCATCCCATGGTTTCGAGTTACATTAGAAGTTATTTAAGATTCAATGAAAGATTAAAAATTTAGGGTTAACCTACAATATTATATTAAACGATTTTTGTTATATATTAAGAGTTTCTTCTTATGGTTTCGAGTTATATTAAAAGTTATTTTAAGATTCAACTAAGGTTAAAATTTAGTATTATTATTAAACAATTTTTTGTTGAGTTTATCGCTTTAAAAATTTTATAGTTCATTAAATTAATACATTTAAATTTTTTTTTTTTTTAAACGCAACTTAATGAAATTATAAGTGCAAATGATTGTTTAATATTCCTCAAAGATTTTGGGAAAAAGAAAAAGTTATTTTATAATATGAACTGTATATACAAATTTATGAAAAAAATGGTACTAAAAGAAGGAGGAAAAAAAAACAAATGATGCAAATATGCATGAATTTCGATAATAAAAGTAGACATATTTGAAATATAGTATAATCACTATAAACAAGAAGTGGACCACTATAAACAAGTGGGGAAGATGATGAAAATCTTTTTTTTTTTTACAAAGGCATAATATAGTTGTTTTTTAAAAAGAAGTATGAATTTAGTTGTACGAATTCACTTAAGTATGCAAACATTCTATAAAACATACTATTTTGAAAACAAACAAAAAAAAAATAAAAGTTTGATGTAAACATAAAGATATTTTTTTTTTTGAAAAAAAAAAATTTCACTGACGTTGAATAAAATTTTCACCCATCACAAAATATGAAGTCAAAATATAAAGTTCATAAGAAACAAAATATATACATATCTTAGTTGAGATTAATTTTTTTTTTTTTTTTTTTTAATAAATTTCAAATAAAGAAATTCTTATATTATTTTGAGATCGATGATTTAGTGTTGTTATTGGGCAAGGTTCCATTGGAAATACTTTTTCTATGTTGTTTTCCCGAATTTAGAGCTGTCAAACTATTTACCTATATTTACAAAAAAAATTAAATTAGCTAATATAAGACATTTCTATACTAAACTAATCAATAAATAAATAAGTAAATCTGCGTATATATTATTATTAGATATAACATACAATAGCGGGATTCTTAATTTCATATAAAAATCCTCTTTGACAAATACTATCTTTCAAACCAAATCTTTGTTCATTTCTAATACTTCTAATAGCTGGATACCAACGATTCATTTCTTTTTTATGTTGTCGTTCCGAAGCCATCAAAGCAGCTAAAAATCCTTTTGATACATCAAATTCGGAACCAACTTGAAATTCATTATTATCATCAAAACCATCACCATTAGTATCATTAGTTTGTTTATTTCCATTTCCTGATGGAATGATTCGACGACGTCTTCTTCCTTCAGCACTACATACTATTTCATTATGATCACCATCACTAAATACCAAGGATGCCGAAGCTAAACCATTCCATAATTCATCATTTCCATCATTGTTCATTCCAAAAGTTTCACCATATGAAGTATGAAATTTAAATTTAGAAGATTCATCAAGATTATCAGTATTTTTAGTATTTTCAATAATTTCAATGTTTTCAGTATTTTCGAGATCAATTTCTTCTTCAGAATCAAATAAAGCTAATAATTCTTCTTCTTCAGATGACATAGAATTATTATTATCTTTTGCAGAATAATGAAACCAACACATTTTTACAGGGTCAAAAATCATTTTACCAACGACTTGTAATGATTTTGTGTTGGTTGATTGAGGATTCATGTTTGATATTAAGGCAGGTCGTTGTGGAGATGGGTCAAAATCTTTTAGAATTGATTCATTGCCATCCCATCTTTGTAAAACTGGGTTATATACCATCTCGCCAATTACTATTATTTGTTAAAAAAAAAGATAGGTTATTAATTATTTGTTAAAAAAGACTATTAATTATTTTTTAAAAAAGATTATTAATTCTTTGTTAGAGAAATGGTGAATGGTTATTGAAAAATTTACCTTTTGAATTTGTTTCAGAATTCAAATTACGAATCAGATGTGGCTTTTTTTGTCGATTTTTCTGAAATTAAAATAATTGTAATGTTCTTAAACACCAATGATTAACATGAATAACATGAATAACTAAATTAACTCAATTAACTAAATTTAACTCAAATTAACTGAAATTAACTGACGTTAAAAATTAAATTAAATTACCTTTTTACTACTATTTGAATTCATTCGAGATTCTGTATTGCTTCTTGTTGAAGTCTTTGATCCAATCGAAGAAGCACTATTTTTTCTATTCGACAAAATGCCAGAATTAGCATCTATTTTTCGCATTAAATTATATCATGAAATTATTATATAATAAATTATATTATTAATGATTTATTTAAAAAAGATAAAAAAATAAATGTAAATAAATAAGATTTTTTAAGAAAACTTGTAATAATAATACATGTAAAAAAGAAAGAATTACCAAAACCCGGAGATGTAGGATATTTTTTATAAGCCCGTTCTTTATCCAAACAAATAGGTAAATCATCAAAAGCATCTAATTCAGTTCCATCACCATAATTCTGAGAATTATTTGGTTTAAGCATAATACGTAAAGTTTTAGAAGCCGAATTTTTTTGAATTTTTTGAATTTTTGAATTAGTCTTATTTACTGAAGAAGTTACAGAAATTGACATTGGAGCGGATTTTACACGAGAATGAGTAGGCTTAGGATTAATATGTAGAGATTTTGTAGATTTTGTAGATTTTGTGGATTTTGTAGATTTTGAAGATTTTGTAGATTTTGAAGATGATATAGATGGTTGACAATGAGATTTGTTCGTCAAAGACATGGATGGTAATGAACGATTTGTTTTAACACTTGTTAATGAAATTGAAGAATTGTTTGCATGTTTTGTTAAAGGAGAAGAACCAGAAAGATTTGAAGATTTTAATGAAGGAGATGAAGCCATTTTTGAAAGTCTTGCAGAATTTATGGATTTTGTTGTTGATAAAGACTTGGTAGAAGTAGTAGACTTTTTTGATTTTAATGAAGGATTGAAATTTTCTTTAACGTTACCAGTAACATTCGAGTTTGAAGTCTTTAAAGTTGAAGTAGTACGTGATTTTGAAGTAGTAGAATTCTTTATAATAGATTTTGTACTAAATTTTGAAGAAACTTTTTCTTTAGAAGGAGAAGGAGAAGAAGAAGAAGTTGATTTTGAAGAATCAAGATTTTTTGATAAAGTCATAGTTGACTTGCACTTTTTCAAAGGAGGAGAAGAGGAAGTTTTAGGTGAAACGGTAGATGGACGTTTTGATATCACATTAGTATCCTTTTTTGAATGTGACACTATCTTATTTGGAGAAGGTGAAGGTGTTACAAAAGATGAATTGCAATTTTTTTTTGAAACTTTTTTTGATAAAGAAGGTGAAGAACGATTATTGCTTGAAATACTACTATTATTTGTAGAAGTCGAACTTTTCTCAGATGATAAAGAAGAATCTTTAGAATGAGAAGAATCTTTAAGATGAAAAGAATCTTTAGAATGAGATAAATCAACATTCATAAAAGAATTTAATGAATCAGAAGTTGAATTAGGAGGAATTGAATTAGAAATAGAAGGAGGAGTAAATTTGATAGTAAAAGATTGTCGTCTTGGTCTTTTTTGTTGAGTAGGAATTGAACGAGGAACAATATTTTTGTGAACAGGTTCAAAAGCATTACCATCTTGTACATCTAAACCGGACCAAAAATTATCATCACAAGCATCATCATCATCATATAATTTATAATCCATAGAATTATCTTTAAGAATAGTATCAGATTGAGAAAGAGGGGAATTTTGATATTCACGTCTCGGAGGAAATAAAGTAAGTTTTTCAATAGAATCAGGAATTTGTAAATCATCAAAACTTTCATCTTCACTTCCGAAATTACTAGAACTTGGAGCCGGACTCACAAGAATATTTAATCTTGAATCCAAAGGACCAGGAAACATAGTACCACTTTCAGAATCGAAAGCACCATAACTATCATCATCATCGTCATCATCATCACCACCATAAACTTTTAAAGCATCAGTTGAAAGATTTAAATCATTCATATCTAATAAATCAAAATCTTGATCAAAACTTTCGACAATTTTTTCCGAAGAAAGACGAGAAATAGAGGTAGGAACATCAACTCTCTTAATCACAATATTTTTTAAAGTAGAAATAGCAGCAGAAGAAGAATTTCGAATGTTATCATTTAAATCGAAAAATTCATCATCCCAACTATCATCATAATTAATATTATTATTGAGATTATTAGAAGGAACGCAGAAGGATAAACCAGCCTCAGGTATTTCCATATCGTTATCCCAATCATCCATATGTAAAACTTTTTTAGAATTATCACCACCTAATTTTGTAATAGTTCCAGAGAATTCATTATTAGATAAAGAATTTGTTAAATCACCGATAATAGCTTTAACAACTTTTAAATCATCATCATGGTGAGTACTCGAATTCGAAGCATTAAGGTTATTAATGATCTTGGTATCATCTAATAGATGAAGATTTTTATTTGTTGAAGTGAATAAAGATTTTTGATCAAAAGCTACAGTGGATGATAATATATTGCCAGCGTCATCATCAGAATCAACTATCGTTATACCTGACATATCATCAGTAGCAGTAGATAATATTTTACCGACATCGTCATCAGTATGAACATCGGAGATATTATCGGTTATTATTAAACCCGAAGAAGGTATTTCGACATCATCCCAATTTTCCTCGTCAGATTCTATTTGAGCTAATGGAAAGCTTGTAGTAGGTATCATTTAATCTAGTAAAATCAGATTATATCAGATTATATGAGATTATATGAGATTATATGAGATTATATGAAATTATATGAAATTATGAGATTATAGCAGATTATTAGAGAATTTTGAAAAAAAGAAGAGTGAAAAAAAGTGGCTTTTTTTAAGAAAAATAATTCAATTTGTATTCGAGAAAACGATGGAACTTTTTATCTTTTGTTAAAAAAAAAAAATAAATAATAATAATAATAATTTGTTCCCACCGTGATATCAATTTCTCTGATGATATTGGTATTTTCGGAGATGAAATTATGCTAGCAGAATTTAGGAAGAAATGACGTAATGCAAATAAAGTATTGTAAATTGAAAATATTGTAATTGAAATCTTGTAATTGAAATCTTGTAATTGGAATACTTGTAATTGGAATACTGTAATTGGAATACTGTAAGTGGATGTAATTGAAATATTATAATTGGATTATTGTAATTGGAATATTTAGTAATTAATGAGCGTGAATGTTGTTGAAAAGTGAACGAAGGTAAATAAAAGAAAAATAATCAAGTGAGATGCTTTTTTTTAAAGAATTTTTTTTTTTAAAAAAAAGGTTAATTTTGTAATCATCGGTTTATCGGTTTTTTTTTTGGAAAGATAATTTTTTTAGAATGTATACAAATTTGGATAATTATTTTTCAATACAAATAATCGATTAAGATCCATCAGTTAACGACGTATGCTCATGCGAAAAGAGAGAATTTTAAGCATACGTTCAAGTTCAAAAGAAGGATCGATGAAAAAAAAGTAATGTATTGTTTATTTAATAAAGAATTTTAGAATGTTGGTATGATTGTGCGCAATTTTTTCAGGGGAAGCCACGAGGGCTTACTTTATAAACTCCTTATTTATATAGAAAAAACAAATTGGCGGGAGATTTGAACTGAGATTGTGTGTTTTGTGATACATTGGATCACCTTTATGCATTGCTTTATATTACATACACAAAGCTTGTTTTTTTATCTTTTTTGAAAGATTATAAACCCTCACGATGACGATATCCTTATAATGTTGCCCAATGCTCAAAACAATAAATAAATCAAATATAAAAAAAGATAAAAAATTCTATATATAAATATATTGACAAGCTCTATGAAGTTTGCTTATTCAGAAACAATAAATTATGAGTTTTTTTTAAAATAGCGCATAAACAACAAGAATATATGCTATCAGTACATATAAATGCATCCGGATAATTAAGGTAGAACGAATAAGATTTTAAACGAAGAAATTACAAGAAATTACAAACATAATTACCAAAAATTACACGAGAAAAACGTCATATAAAAACATCAATAATGATGGTTAATAATTTAATTATTTGGTTCATTTTATAGAAACCTTAAGACAATTACCAAGAATCAAGTAAAACGCATGACTTGGAATATCATTCGATCGTAAGAACGTTCTAATACAATTCTCAATAGTACAAAATGACAATTTGTTTTTACAATGCATGTAATGATTTACCACTAAAAAAACTTTTATGGACTGACTTTGCCGTACAAGATTCCTAAATAAACATTTGCTAATTAACACATGCTTGGTCAGAATGGTGTTACACATAAATACGTTATCTGTTATGTATGTTACGTATAGTACGTAACATACTTACGTATTGGTATCTGTACAATACATACCTGATACGACAGTACATACGATAATACATACATACCTTGTATCTTTATTAACAACCATGAATAGTAAAAGTAATGAATCTTTGTTGATTTGCATGAACAATTAGCTCAGAAATGAATTCAATTCGTTCGTTCATTTAGATCACAATCCATACTCCTTTCTATCGGTTTTTGTTTTAATATCGTTCCATTATTTATATTCATCATCATTCACTTTTTTTTTCCTTAATTAGAAATGGGTTTAAATGAATTATTGATACGTAAAAATGTAAACTACATCCCTATTACATCCCCATTGGGTCAACGCATTTAAAGAGGGGTGCATTTATAATGAACCAGTACGTACACTTAAAGTGTTTTATAGAATTTGTGCAATTGTGCATTTAGAACCAAATTTGGTATATATCACTTACGAAAAAAATTTCATAGTTTATTCTTCTATGAACTTAAAACTGACTGACTGAACTAGGGTGAACTATTTGAAGAACATAGCGCATACATTTAAAAATGTTATACGTATATATAGAAAAAGATATAACGATTTCTCCCAACAAATCTTTTTTAAAGTTAAAGCGGAGTTAAGGTTAGTGTTACCTTTTTGATGCAAATATTTTTTTAAAATACTCGCAGGGTGTGATACCTGGTATAAGATATATTAGGTTAGGTTAAGTTAAGATAGATTAGAATTAAAGAAATTAAAGAAATTAAAGATGCATTTATTTATATGTAAAATTTAGTGCTGAACATTTTTACTTAAGGCATCTATATTAGTCTTTCTAATAAAATTTTCCTAATAATATTTTGAGATATTAAAATTTTTTTTTTTATACTCGGGTATATACCCGCCGGGTATAAATAGAAATCCTCTTATTATTTATCGTTACGTATACGTATATAATATATATATATACGATCACATTTTTTAGAAAGAGACGATAAATCAGGTAATGTTTATGCCAATTCTCTTATTTAATATAATATATTCTGTAAGTAACAGATTTTACACTGTACAGTTTGAATAACCGTATAAATTTATCTATACTCCTAATAATATGACAGTGTAAGCACAGGATTTATTACAACATACATGTGATTGATGAGCAAAAATATGTTCGGTTTTCCGAGTATTTCATTCTTGGACTTTCTGATTTTCATAAATTCAAGATTCATGAGTATTCATGCTGGAAAATCTGTCCCAAATCAATTAATTTGAAACATTATTTATACAATATTACTAACTACAATATTGCTAACGAATGTCTTTATAAACTCTCATGTTTGGAATTTACATCCTTTTATGAATCTCTATCGATTGTGTTAGAGTTGTTTTTTTCTCAAGAATCAAATTTTTAAAAATTTTTATTCTATAAAATCATTATACCTACTTTATTATAATAATCAAAGATGGTTTCAAACAAAGTAGCAAAGAAACATGAAGACGCTAATTTTTGTTTTTGTATAGGGTTAAGATTGGGTTTCATAATTTCAAGTTTAATATGGCTGGTAATTAATTCGACTATTTCGACTATATACAATTTATGCACTAAAGCCGGATTAATTTAAAATCAGGTGATCAATTAATCCTGTTATCGTAAACCTTCATTACGAGACCAGTTAATATCCTTAGCTTTAGTGCATTTTATAAATGCTATTTGTCACGTGCTAAAGCTCTATATTATTATTATTATTTAGATGGAGGGTTTTGCTGGTACAATTATATTCTGCGTATGGCTAAACAATGTTGACAATAGAAATAAACATGATAATGGTAGGTCTAGTATAATATTCTTTGTAATTTCTCTTATTCCACTTTATACTTATTCTTTAATTCATAGAATCTTACAAACCGGTGATCTTTATCCTTGCTGGTTATGCCATTTTGCTCACTTTGTTGAGTGCTTTTGGTCTTGTTTCTTATCGTATATTGGTATACTTCTTTTTTAAATATATTAAACTAATACCACAAGCATACCAAGCATATCAAGCATATCGTAAATTCTTTTTTTTTTTTTTTTTTAGAGGTCAACTTCACTCTTAAAAATATATAAATATGCCGCTTGGTTAATTGCAGTATTCATAAACACTGTATTAATAATTATATCGGTGATATCCATCTCGGTTATCAAACGACAAAACTCCGAAATTAGCACTGACTCTATTGAAATAGGAAAGACCAATACTTACGTCATTTGGTTTGTAATACTGGGTGTTTTACAAATTGCTCTTCATGTAAATATATCTCAACAATTATTCGTTTTTTTTAAAAAAAAAAATCTAATTAAACTATTTATAACAGATATACTTGGCAATTACACTTCAGACATTTGTGCATCGTCAAGTAAGGCATGAAAAACGCCGAACTACCCTAAGAGAGTCAACATTCACGAAGCCTCAAAGACAACTATCCGTAAAAGTTGATAAATTTTATGACATAACTGAAGCATAATATATTTATCTAATAGACGTACATATTTAATATCTATCCTTAATACGTAGGTAGATCAAAAAGTTTTGCCATATAGGCATTAATCTAATCAGTTTTAATTTTACAATCTTAAGAATTATATATATAAAAAATAATAATTTTAATAAACCTATAAAAAAAATTTTTACCAAATTTTAATCAAATATTTTTTTTAAATAATTATTATTAAAAATGTTAATTTTAACAATTGCAAACTTTTTAGACATTTTAATTAATTAAAGTTTATATAAAAAATAGTATAAAAAATTAAAAACTTTATAATTTTTTTAAAAAATTTAAATATAATTAGAAAAAATTATATATTTTTTTGAATATATAATTTATTTTTGAATTAAAAAATAAAATTTTAAAAAAAGCTTTAATTAAAATTTTGCTTTATTTTAAAACTAGTTTTAAATTACTCTATTTTAATGTTTTAATATTTTTAAAAAATTTATAAATTTTAAAAATAATTTTATATTAATTATTTTTTAACCTGTTTTTTTAAAGATAAAATCATCAAATTTAATTAAAATAAAAAATATAAATATTTTTACTATTTAACTTACTAAATTACTACACATTTTTAAGACATTAATAAAACTTTTCAAAATATTAATAGTGAGTTATACCAACATTTTATATTAAAATTTTGAAAAAAAGTCAGTATAGAAAATTTTTTCTGATATCGTTATATCCAGATGCCAGTATAACCAGAGTGACATGTACATATAGTAAACTATATATAAATTTTAATTTTCTAAAAAATTACTTTAAATTATTATATATAAAAACAAATTATATAAATTTTAATTATATATAAATGGATTATTATTTTTGTTATATAAATTTTTTTTATTATATA